CATGCAGTTCCCATTGTCCAATGCTAAATTCCCAAGAGGGGTAGTAGGTAGCTTCACTGAGCCTGAAAGATGAAGGGATACAAAGTCATCTACCAATTCCTCAGTGTGGCAAAGGCTGCTTGCTGCTGCCATTTCTCCAGGTCATCATTTCACTCTCCTTTAAAGTTCACATTTGCTTCCAATAGTGGAGAAAAAGAACATATGGCCTCAATACACAGACATACAAAAGGCTTGTGGTTCACCCCCACTTTCTCTGCTGTAATTAGATTTAGAAAGCAGGTGGCCAGCACATAATCACAGAATCACCATCTTTTAGGGCAGAGGCTGAATCCATGTACACAGACATTCTAGAACTGTAAGTGTAGATGGAAGTAGGACCCTGAAGAAGCCTCTCTTGGCAAGGTGGTTGAGGCTAGTTACACCTTCACTTTTTGTTCCTTTTCCCTTAATGCAATTTGCTTATAAAACTCTCCTCTCAGCCCACCAGACTGCAAATCATAAAATGTACAGGACTCATTCACATGTATGTGGCCACCTCCATTCCCTGATGTGAAAATGCTGATGCTGCAGGAACAGCCTTAGTTTTGTTTGACTTCATAGTAACAAGTCATGATTATACAGTTGTAGGAGCAGAGTGGATTCTCCAAGTTTGCTTTGTTAACTCCCTGTTTTGTTAAAGGAGGAACTGAAGATATTTAGTCAACATCACATAGAAGCCTTTAACTAGAGAAGTAAGTTTAGAAATCATTTTCTAATGTTAGTCCATGCCCTTCTAAACTCTGTTACTATCCTTGATGTTTTGAACTACTCTGTTTTTTTTTCCAGAATCATGTAGACAAAGCTTTTACACCATGTGGATTTTTTGACTCAGATTCCTATGCACACTAAGTAGGCATTCTGCTGTTGAGCCCCAGTCTCAGTCCCTAGGGTATCTCTTCTACCACCTATTATGTTTAATGAGAATGAAAGAATGGCTAGCTTTCTGAGCAGATCTGAAATAAACCAGAAACTTCTCTAGTTATTATCAATATTTTTGTTGCTGAAAATATTGCTATAGTTGTATAATTCAATTTGTGTACACAGAAATCCAAACATGTAGACACAATGCTCACGACATTTTTGAGTCACAGATCCCATTTGTCGTTGTTTTAAGGAAGGAAAAATGGGATATTAGGACAAAACCTCTGTAGGCACATAGAATCAGGTATTTCCTGCTATGTCTGAAGTAGAATGACATTTCAAATGCTAGCGTGTATATATATATATATATATATATGTATATGTGTATATATATATGTATATGTGTATATATATATATATATATAGAGAGAGAGAGAGAGAGAGAGAGCTTAATATTTATATAAAGTTATTTCAACCCTTGCCATCTAAATAGCATCCTTTTCATTCCCTAAGGCTCTTGGAGGTGGGTTTTATGGAGAGATGGACAGACTAATGTTTCACTCAGCCATCTCTGGCCTCAGCTTCTTTTGGCTACTAACTATGATGTTGGATGACACAGTTTCTCCTCTTCACATGGAACTGTGACAATTCACACCTGGATTCTCTTCCTATATTTCCCAGAAGCTCAGTGGAGTCAAGATTTACAGTAGCACCCTATTCTAGAAACCCACTGGCTTAAAGCACAGCAAATGGTTGTTGCGTTTTCCATTCCTGTACATGGGGAATTTGGATATTGTTCATCTGAGTACTTCTGACTCTAGGTTTCCCAGAAAAGCTTAAGAAGGTCGAGAACATCAGTTTACAGTATGGTTCCCTAGTGTTGGCAGGATGCCTCAGCTCCAATCTCTGGATTCCTTTTTACACACACACACGTATATGTATAGTATATGTATATTATGTATATGTATATATTCAGTTTTCTTCCATTCTTTAGCCATCTGTATCATGCCTTAAGAAACTTTCTCTCTCTCTCTCTCTCTCTCTCTCTCTCTCTCTCTCTCACTGTGTGTCCTAAAAGGACCTTTAAGACTAAATGGGAGCTAGATGTGATGGAGCACACCTCTAGCCGCAGCTCTCAGGAAGCAGAGGCAGGTGGCTTTCTGTGAGTTGGAGGCCAGCCTGGTTCTACAAAGTGAGTTCCAGGACGGCCAGGGTTACACAGAGAAATCCTATCTCGAAAACAACAACAACAACAAAAAGATTAAATGAGATAACATGAGAAAGCTTTGAAATCATCCAGGGGAGAAGACCTCATGAAAATGCGGTTGTGTTTCACAGCTTCAGAAATGTGCAGAACCTGGCAGGTTAGTTGATTAGATGTGAAGAAACACATAAAGATGTGTTATAAAGATGAGGGTTGGACCCTTAGATTTTAATTTCAGGATGTACTCTTTTAGAAACAAGTACAGAATGTTTTCCTTATTACATCAGCACAATAAGGAAATATTATTGATAGTTGGAAAATTATCAATAATATAAAATAAAAAAGCCTACCCAAAACAGCTGATAGAAAGATTTGTAAACCTTTAAATTGGGGGAAAGATAAGCTGTTTTAATATCCAAATGGAGTTTTAGCAGTAATGAGAATGTGAATAGTTTGAAGAATATAACTAATTTATTATTATAAGAAATGAAAATTTGAACATTTTAAAAATAATGTATTTTCACATTTCCTAAGTATCTTCTCTGATTCTTAAATTTTGTAACATGAAGGTTTTGTGTACATTTTTTTCTTGTTACAAACAATTTGAACATTTTAAACATATATTTTGGCTGAAAAATTAGTTACATGTGTTTTTAACTCATGAAGTAACAGATTTCCAGCATATTTTTCTATTTATCAAGTTTCAATATATGCTTTAAGTTTGGACTGCTATAGCAGAGTACCACAACTTGAAGGTAGAAGTAGGAGAATTGTAAACAACTTCAGTTACAAAAGTAGTAAAACTTCTCAAATTCATCTCTTACGTTTCTGGATTCTGTGGAGTCCAAGCTAAGGGCAGCAGCAGGTTAGGGCCTGGTCCATAGAAGCCAAGTACTTATGTGTCCTCACATGATAGACATGAGGGGGAGGGGATGTCTGAGAGTTTTTTCACAGGGACCCTAGACTCATTCGTTAGTGATCTGCTTTCACCATCCTTATGTTTAGATTATATATGAATGGTGTTATTTCTACAGTGATTTTTGTACCCCTTTCTAGGGAGCTTTAATTTAAATCAGCTGGAAATTTCAGCAGGGAAAAGTGAACTGGGTTATCCATGTCTCAAGGGTCCAAAGAAATAGAACAACTGTCTCCTACCTCCTTTCTCTGTGAGGAAGTCAAGGAGATCATTGTACTTCTGGTTCAGCTTAAAGGAGCTTATTTAGAAAATATATCCACATGACAGTGTGATATGCTTTACTTCTCTGCAGGACTGTTACTGGAATTGTCAGCACCTTCAACTTATTTTTCTCTTCCACTATGAGCAGACCAACTCTGTTGCACATCTGCGTGGCTTTCTGTAGCATTTTCTTCCTCAGCTTGGCCACAAAATGTCTAGCTTTCCCAAGAGTGGAAAGGAGGGAGATAGCACATGCTTATGCAGAGAAAGAGCAGTTCCAGAAGATGAGCATGGATGACCAAGGAAACATCTCCTTTGCTCCAAAGTACACGCCCCAGCAGATGTCCTCTGAAGCTCTAATGAGACAGTCTGCAGGACCTTCTGTGACACCATTAAACAAAGTTTTCTCTGTCAACAAAGAAACCCACCTTCCAAGAGCTGGGCCTCTGCAGCCTACTAGCCCTGATCTTCACTCTTCCAGTGAGCCAGTGGTCTTAGCCAGTGAAAAAGAACAGGGTCCCAGCCAGCTCGAAAGAGTGTCTCCTGAACACAGACTTTCCGAGGCCATGTTAACCATTGCTGTCTCTTCACCTGCTTCTCTGAATCCTGAGGAGGAGGGATCCTATAGCAATTCTAGTGCTACGCCCACTGTAGAAGGGATCACAGATGTAACTCACGATTTCCTGAAGTATGTGGATAATCAGTTGTTTTCAACTGAAAGTCAGGATACAGTTAGTTTGGGAAATTCACCTTCTTCCTATATATATACCAAAGAAATGCTAACCACAAATCCAAGAACTGAGAAAGCTGTAGCAGATGTAGCCAAGAGAACAACTGAATTTCCTGGTATTGATTCCACAAGAGACACGGAGCATGATGGGGAGAGGCCCTCAGATATGACAGCTGACGGTGCCCTGAGCACTGCCACCAAGCACTTGGTGGAAGCCCCTCAGAATAGCTTAGCTATTAAGTCAACAGCTGGCAGTCTTCCGGGGAAACCTAAAGGAACAGTGAGTGTCAACACAGCTGCTCCAGTATCCTCTGTCCCAAGCGATGAGTGGGATGACACTAAATTTGAGAGTGTAAGTCAGATGAAGCTCCCAGAAACAGAAGACAATGCAGAGACTCAAGTGAGAACAGAGCCACCATATAGAACATATATGAGCTCTGAGGGGACTCAAGGAAGCCCCACTTCCAAAGATGTTACGAAGGTGCCTGGAGGAGAGACACCTTTGGGAACAGCCCCAGTGACTGCAGTGGGAGGTGAAAGGTCACCAGTCTTTACCTATCAAATTCTCTTCACTCCCATGAGGCTGACAGAAGACCCTAAAGTTTCCACTGTGACACTGACTGCAGGAGGCTTCACAGCCTCCACTCAGGAGGACATGGCCATGCTGTTTTCAGAGACTGTAGTTTCTACCTCTCAATATGAGTCTGCGGCATCGCTGGCAGCAGGAAACGTGTTAACAGGTAAGTAGGAAAAGTAAAGAATTAAAACGACATCAAAGCATCCCCAAACTTTGCTTAATTTTGAAACTTTCAGTTTGGATTAATTTATTGGTTATTTAAAATTTGTTGAGATGGTATCTTAAAAGGTTTTTCTGAATTCACTGTGTCCGGGCCTCTGACCCTAACTGCTAGGACTGCAGCTGTGTGTCACCATGCCTGGCCGGCTGCATTCTGTTTGTTTGTTTACTTCAGTTTTGAGGCAGGATCTCACTGTGTGTCCTGGATGGCCTTGAACTTACCGTGTTGTCCAGTTGACCTCAGAGTTACGACTCTCCTCCTTGCCTCTACCTCCAGAACGGTAAGATTGCAGATGTGCCACCATGTTTGGTTTTGGTTTCATTTCTTAATGGTGACTTAGAAACGGTTACTTAAGTTTTAATGAGAGACAGAAATATTTAAATAAATCATATATATGTTCCATAAAAATCGTAGCTTCCTCATACATAAGTCAAGGTTTTCAGCTGGGGACAATTCTGTTCACACCTCCACCCTTCTAGTCACATCTACCAGTGTTTGGAGAGGTTTTTAGTTGTTTTAGTTGAGGCTTACTCCTGACATCTCCTGAGTAGGGACCAAGGAAGCTTTAGAACTTTATCTGTGGGACAGCTTCAGAAGCAATAGTCTCAGCCAGTATATCAATAGCATTGAAACAAATATAGTTGAATATTTTTCCAAATCTTTTCTAATGAAAATATATAAATACATATGAAAATATGAAAGAATTGTGTATTTGTTTAAATAGTTTAACAACAATGGTTATTGCTTACTTATATACTAATGCAAAATATGTGGAAATCTTTAATATTTCTTACCAAAAATAATTATGTAAATCTCTATCTTGTAATATTAACCATTTTGGTTTTCTGACCTTATTTATCCAAAAATAAATTGTCTAGAAATAATATAGAAAGAAATTATAATCACTTACTTGCTTCATTTCTGAATTATCTACTTTTTCTTGGCTTCCACATCTTTAAATATTAGAAGGTGGAAACCATAATATTTGTTGTTGATGTATTATGTTTTTCCTATTTGGTTGGTCACATACTAACATCTCAAAGGAAAGGCTTTGTGCAAGTGTATATGTATTCTCATTTCAAATTGTTTCAGAATGTGCAAATCTTATGACTGGGTCAAGAAACCTATTAATGAAACAAACAAACAGAAACCACATTTGTAATATGGCTTATAAAGTTTTGTTGAGATGTATTTTAAGTGGTAAAAATGATCACTTGATAAATAATAAATGTAAAAGTGAATAGTTTACATGCTTATTTGAGTTAGGGGTTTTTGTTTGTTTGTTTTGCTGTGAGTCTTATTTATTTAAATTTTTTCTTTAATTTATTCATTTTACATCCTGCTTATAGCCCCTTCCCTTGTCTCCTCCTAGTCACACACTCCCATCCTCTTTCCCCCTACCTCCTTCCCCTAGTCCTCAGAAAGGGAAAGCCCTCCTCCCATACTAATTGACCCCAGAATACCAAGTCTCTTCAGACCTACCTGCATCCTCTTCTACTGTGGCCTGGCAGGTCTACCCCTCCAGAGGAAGTGATCAAAGAGCAGGCAACAGAGTCCATGTCAGAGACAGCCCCTGCTCCCCTTACTAGGAGACCCACATGGAGACTGAGCTGCCTATCAGCTATATCTGAGCAGGGGTTCTAGGTCCTTTGCATGCATGGTCTTTGGTTGATGTATCAGTTTCTTTTAGGCCCCCATGGGTCAAGATTTGTTGGCTGTGCTGGTCTCCTTGTGGAGCTCCTGTCCCTTCTGGGTCCTTCTTACCTCCCCCCCCACACACACACACACATACTCTTTCATAAGACTCCCTGTGCTTTGCTGGAAGTTTGGCTGTGAGTCTTAGCCTCTGCTTTGATCCCCTGCTGTGTGGAGTCTTTCAGAGGACACCTATGGTAGGCTCCCATCCTCTTCCCTCTCTTTAACCACTTCTGGTGTCTATTCTGTTTGCCCTTCTGAATGAGAATTAAACATCCTCCCTAGGATCCTCCTTGTCACTTAGGCTCCTTAGGACTGTGGATTGTAGTATGTTTATCCTGTCTTGTATTGGTAATATTTGCTTATAAATCAGTATACACCATGCTTTCTTTCTGGATTTGGGTTACCTCTGGCCCTTTCTCAGAAAGTTGGGAAGAGCTCTACCTTAAGACCCAGCTATACCTCTCCTGGACGTATACCCAAAAGATGCTTCACCATACAAGGACATTTGCTCAGCTATGTTCATAGAAGATTTATTTGTAATAGCCAAGAACTGGAAACAACCCAGATATTCCTCAACCAAAGAATCAATAAGGAATCTGTGGTATATCTACACAATGGAATACTATTTAGCTACTAAAAATAAGGATATGATGAAATTTGCAAGCAAATGGATAGATCTAGAAAAGATCATCCTGAATGAGGTAACTCAGTTTTGGTTTTCATTTTGGTTTTAGTTTTTTTGAGGCAGGATTTCTGTCTTTCTATGTTCCTCACCAGTGTTGCTGGGTGGGAAATGGAAGTGCACACTCCAGGAAGAAAATGGTAAAGTGCCAGGGTCAAAGGAGCTCAGTACCCCGGAACCTGAGCCAGGTGGCACTGAGGGCCCAGCCTGAGTTAGGCTGTTCTGAGGCTGCTTCATGAGCAGCTGGCAATAGAGGCTGTCTTGGAGCTCTGAGACTGAAGGAGGCAGAGGCAGGAGCATGGTTTTGCCCAGGTGAACTAAATAGCTTCTTAGAGAACAGCCAGCTGCTTGCTCCTTTAGATGGGAACTGCAGCAGGCAGAGCAGCCACTAGAAAGATGGCAGCAGTGATCCAGGCTGACACACTGGAGAAAGGTGGAAGCTTGCAGAGGCCAGAAGCAAGGGGGGAGTCTAGTGACTGTGGAAAGAAGAGAAGCCCTGTCCTGTCCCAGAATAAATGCTGCGTCTCGGATGGTTGGATGGTCGGATGGTCGTGGAGGAGGAATGGTTTGAGCACGAGGAGAGAAAGGAGAGAGACACTGAGATTATTTCATGAATCAAGGATTTATAAACTTCCTGCAGTGGTAGGGATTTCAGGGGTGAAAGTGTTTTGATTTGCTGAAGCTAGAAGTGCCAGGGACACCTCATTTACATGCCCCTAGATGCTTGCTAACAGGTTCTACTTAGGAAAAGGAAGATGAACTTGTGTTTTCCCTAAGGATTATGCGCCATTCCTCAGGTAGTGGATGTGGAGGTTTGGACTCCCCAGGTCTCAGAGAAGAAGGAGCCCTGCCAACAAAGGGGGTCCATCATTTTATACTGAGCTCAGAGGCTCTCCAGAAATGCCAGACTTCAACCTTAATAGCAGGGCTTCCCAACAGATCTCAAATTGCTCATTGTCTCACTGGCTGAATAACCAAAGCTGGCCTTGAATGCCAGAGTCTCTAACCTGCACCTCCTAAGTGTTCTGGTTATTGTGGTCTATTTCCATGCTCTGCTTCTTGTTCAGTTTTTGAAAACTGAATGGGCTAGTAAAGTGTGAATTTTCGTATATGCTTCCATAAAATGTTTCATAAGTTGTACTTAAATGTTTTTATTTAAATTTGAGATAGTATTTCCTATGTAACCCTGTGTGGCCTCAGAAGTGTAGAGATCCACCTGCCTCTGAATGTCAAGAGCTGAGATAGAGGCATTACCACCACACCTAGCATAAGCTGCTTTTAGAAGGACCTTAAATGAGTTGAGCCTGTAAAATCATGAAGACGTTAGGTAGGATTAAACCACAGCACTTATGTTTCTAGAGCATGCAGTCACGTGGTCCCTAGTACACATCTCACCATTACGTTTATATTGTTACATTTTGGATTTATTTCCACTTTGACTGATGCTTATTTCCACTTTGACTGATGCAATCTGAAAAGAAAAATGGATTTTATAATAGTCAGGCAATTTTGATGATTGAACATGCTGTTGGTAACAGTTGACTCATTTGCCTACGGTTTTGTGAACAGACTTGGTGGTGCAGAGCCCACACTGCTCGTGCAGAGGACTTGAGTTGGGTTCCCAACACCCACATCAGGGGGCTCACCTGTGGCTCCAGGTGCATGGAACCCTGCGTCCTCTTCTGACCTCCGTGGATACCTGTATACACACACACACACACACACACACACACACACACACACACACACACACATACTTAAAAATAAAATAATTAAGAGAAATACATCTACTGAAAACCTATTATGTGCAAGATACCCTCCCATCCCCTTCTCCACCCATGTCCCTCTCAAAGTCCACTGATAAGGGAGGTCCTCCACTCCTTCCTTCTGATCCTAGTCTATCAGGTCTCATCAGGAGTGGCTGCATTGTCTTCCTCTGTGGCCTGGTATGGCTGATACCCCCTCAGGGGGAGGTGATCAAAGAGCAGTTCATGTCAGAGACAGTACCTGTTCCCCTTACTAAGGAACCTACTTGGACACTGAGCTGCCATGGGCTACATCTGTGCAGGGGTTCTAGGTTATCTCCATGGATGGTCCTTGGTTGGAGTATCAGTCTCAGAAAAGACCACTGTGCCCTTAACAGACTGATTCAGTTCATATTCAGATATGTATGAAGAACTTGGCTAGCCATCTTTCTATTTTGTTTCAATTTTGTTCTCATTTATTTGTTTGTTTGTTTGTTTGTTTTTGTCTTGATTTTATATTAACTTCATTGATTGTGCCACAACTCCCTGAAGGAGCAACAGTAACATTGTTTCCTGGCCTTTGATCCCCAAGTCCTAGGCTCTGAAAGAACTGGCTGTCCTTTTTTCAATGTACTAACTTCATAATGACTTTAATGTATAGGAATGTGGTCTACTTTAAAATGTTTCCCTCCTTTTCAGATGTCACTCAAGAGATGACAATGTCCACTCAAGAACCAGATACCACATTACCCTTGGTGACACAAGAGCATAGGTCTGCCATGGAGGTTTCCAGAGGCAGTGGGGAACCTGAAGAAGCCATGCCATCCCCCTCTTCTGCATCCACTTATGTGGGTGCCACTGAGCTGTCCAGAAGATGGGAGTCTCTGCCCACTCCAGCCTCCACCACTGCTGTCCCTTTGTCTCTGGAAGTTTCCTCTTCCATGGAAGGTCAGTAGGGGAGTGTGGGTTCAGCATTTAAGGGAGGAGTGTGAATCTTTCCTGTGAGTTACTAAAATGAGAGAAGCAGCTTGCTTTTTCACCAGCATGCATATGTGTCCGCTATGTGAAAAGATGGTCCACTCTCTTTGCTTGTAGAAATGGTCTATAGCCTCAAAGAATGAGGGTGGTTCTTCTCCTGCTCCCCAAGTCCAAGCTCCTGAGGGCTCTCTCCTTAGGATGAGGAAACATAAAAATATCAAGGACATGTGTTTGAAGCTACCTTTGGTCCTCTCTAAGACTGGCCTTAAATAAGCTTCTAAATTTCTGTATGCCTCTGTTCATTTCTAGTAATATCCATGTAGGTCATATTCTATGAAAAGAGCTTCCTCTATCATAATCCCTCAGATGGCCTGCTCTCTTGAGGACAAGGAAGCTATAAAGTATGGCTACTGATCAGAATCTCTTGGGAATATAATCTTTCTAAAACAAAATAACACGAAAACCACAAAAACTCAACTGTAGTGTCTTGACAATAACCTTCATGAAATCTGAAGATGCTTGCCTTCAATGTCTCTCTCCCAACCAGCAACCAGTGGTATCAATTTTGTTTTCATAATTTCCTTCATTCCACACCACCTCCAGTTTTCTTATATGTATACTTATTACCACAGTACAAATTTATTTATTTTTTGCTTTTAACTTTATAAAAGAAATACTGTACTACAGATTAATTTTTTTGGAACTTAACCATTTTTACTTAGTGTTCTGACTGCCAAATATCCTGTTGATTTTTGTTCTGACCATTGTATCATACTTCATTATGGAAACACATCTAATTATTCATCCAGTCTTAGTCTGTGCTCCTGCTATTTGCATTTGGGCCACATCCAGCTGTTGTGAATACTGCTATTATGAACACTCTTTTGCATGTTTAGCATTGAACATGCAAAGGACTTTTTCCTAGGTAATGAGTTGTTGGCCATCAGAAGTATCAGTGTTTGGCATTAGGGGTTGGTTCATGTGTCCTTTCCATAGTTGTTTTTGTACCAATTTATACTTCCATGAAATATATAGTGGGGCTCTGTGGCTCTGTATCCATGAGAACTAAAAACATATTCATTATATAATATATTATTATATATAATACATATTATACATATGATAGATAATGTATGTTATTTTGCATATATAATTTAATATGTTTATCATATAATATATGTATTATGTATTTATTATATATAACACATATGTATGTAATATGTGTATAATATATAATGATACATTATAGATAATAAATATATATTTAATTCCCATGATACAGAAACATAGAACCCCATTATATTTCTCATGGGAGTATAAATTGGTGTAACAGCCACTATGGAAAGGAGACATGAACCCCTAATGCCAAACACTCAGTTCCTATGGCCAGCAACTCACTACCTAGGAGAAAGTCCTTCACATGCCTGATGCTAAATATATAAATGTATAATATATTATTATGCATATACTATACTATAATATAATATAATATATAATATTATAATATTATAATATAATATAATATAATATAATATAATATAATATAATATAATATAATATAATATAATATAATATAATATAATATAATATAATAATACATTATATATGTTCTCTCCTCCGGCTTCATGGGTAAAGAAATTCTGATTCAAAAAGTTGGGACTATGTGAAATCTGTCTGGGGAGATTTTGATGACGGAAGCTGCTAGTGTAGTTTCTCTAGATGTGGGAGGCTTGGGTTTCATTTGGATGCCAATGCAAGTCTGCTTTAGACCCAGATCTAAGCTCAAATTCTTCAACTTGATTTTGTGAAGTATACTTGGTTTTCCAAAGTACTCCCTGGCTTTTTTAATGTAACACATTTTTTTTTTTGTCAAATTTTCTGCCTTTAGTACCCTATACAAAATTCTGTACCATTCATTATACTGTCAATAGAATAAGTGAGAGATAAAAGTTCTAAAGCAAAACTGATTTGAAGCAGTGTCTTTTCCCAGATGAGTGAGTGTTTTCTTTGTGTAGCTGGGTTGATGTGAGAAGACCTGAGCTAGGTACTGAATTTACTCTGCATTTAAGGTACTGCTTTCTTGTCTTTCAAAGCTTATGTTAACATTTTTTTGTATTGATTGTCTGTGGGTCAAGCCCTGTCTCTTGTGTTTGGCAGATCTAATGGACACAATCACTGGGCCAACTGAAGAATTCATACCAGTCTTGGACTCTCCAATGGCACCCCCTGCAATGACTGTGGAGGTTCCCACAGTTTCTCCAGCACTTCATTCTGAGGGAAGAACTGTTCAGTCCATCAGCCACCCAAGTACAGCTGCCTCCTATGGCCTGGAAGAGCTCGAGTCTGAAGGTATCCTGTCTCTGACCACACACTCGAGAAACAACTAGGTAGTTGTTAGTTTAAATCACTAGGGTAAACTGGCCTAGTAAGATGTGGTCTGCCACTAATTCTCTATGCCTTGTGAGATAAGTATGTTTTACATTTTTTTAATTTAATTTTTTTAAATTTTTTATTAATTACACTTTATTCATTTTGCATCCCCCCATAAGCCCCTCCTTCCTCCCCTCCTGATCCCACCCTCCCTCCCCTTTCTGCATGCATGCCACTCCCCAAGTCCACTGATAGGGGAGGTTCTCCTCTCCTTTCTGATCTTAGTCTTTCAGTTCTCATCAAAAGTGGCTGCATTGTCCTCTACTGTGGCCTGGTAAGGCTGCTCCCCCCTCAGGGGGAGGTGATCAACGAGCAGGCCAATCAGATTATGTCAGAGGCAGTCCCTCTTCCCATTACTATGTAACCCACTTGGACACTGAACTGCCATGGGCTACATCTGTGCAGAGAGGTTCTAGGTTATCTCCACGAATAGTCCTTGGTTGGAGTATGAGTCTCTGGGAAGTTCCCTGTGTTCAAATTATCTTGTTTTGTTGCTCTCCTTGTGGAGTTCCTGTCCCCTCCAGCTCTTACTATTTCCCACTTCTTACATATAAAAAGGCTGGACAAACATGCAAGAACAGTGTTTTGTGACATGTACAAGTTATGTAAACTTCAGGTTGAAGTGTGCATAGTAAGGCTGTATTTCATCCAGCTCTACTTCTCATTTGCACATTGATTGTGGCTACTTTGGGGCCCCAGTTCAAAACTGAGAAGCTGTGGTAAATCTTAAGTGACCCTGAAAGCCCAAAGTATTTATAATATTCCCCTTCAAATAACAACTCTCCCTGCCATGCAAACATATGTATGTGTGATGTATGTAGGTAAGTGTTCATCTACTGCAGTTGAATATTAGCCCCAACCTGGAGAGCATTCAATGAACCACAACATATTATATATGAATGCGTGTGTGTGTGTGTGTGTGTGTGTGATTATTAACTGAACGTACACGGTAGACTCAGACGCCCCCTGAAAAGCTTTTTTCTAAAACCCTATGCTTGAGGTCTTTCAGTGATTCCATCTAAACTTACATGGGCAGGATATGGTGCTAACATTTAAAATGAGTATCTTAGCTGCTTTTGTTATGCGGACTGGATGAAAATAGCAGGTTTCAAAGGAGGAACTGTGGTTTGTTTTTTTTTCCCCTACGCACTTCTTTTTTTAATGACAGTTTAAATGTGTACTGTGTTTTCATAGAGCCACTTTGTTAGTACTGGATCATTCCTTTAGTACAATCATTCCATCATTGAGCTACTGTCTAGACACAAACAGTGTCTTTATTAATTGATGCCGAGAAACTCATGCCAAACTAAAGTGTAAAACATTGGCTTTGGCCATGAGAAATGTAACTGAAGCATAGCTACACATCAACAAACAATAGGAATGGAGATAGGGCCCACAAGTCATGTGACTGCTTGAGTCAGCAGCCTGAAAGGTGAGGTGTATCACGTTGGAAGTGCACATGTTTGGAGGGCTAGTTACAGGGAAGCTCTTAGGCAGTCAGCCATGTCCTGGGTGCAAGAGGACAGACGATGGACTGGGATTTTAAGTTTTCTCTACTGCACGCAAGATGGTAGAGTCGGGTGTGTAGGTGATACTTTTCCCCTGAAGATTCAGTTTATCATTTAAAAAATCCGTGTGTGTGTGTGTGTGTGTGTGTGTGTGTGTGTGTGTGTGTGTAAATGTATGCCATGTATGGTTTGGTGTCCTTAGCTGTTAGAGGCATCAGATCCTCTGGAACTAGAATCACAGGAAGTTGCCTTGGGTGCTGGAAATCACACTTGGCTCCTCAGCAGAGCTCTACACTCCCCTAACCATTGAGCCATCTCCCCAGCCTGTCTTACAGCCTTCCAGGGTGACACTTGCAATCTGCTCACTGGGAAATGTAATGTCTTAAGAGGGGCTTGGGGAATTTCACAGAGGAATGCTGGGTTAAGAAGCAGACCAACAAAGTCCAGCAGTTACTGGCCCTCTCACATCACAGGAAGACGGATAATGCAGGGCGCTGAGCGTGATGCTGCAAGTTTTCCGTTCCCTTGAATGCCATCTGTTAAAAAAAAATCAAGTTTCCTTAAATGGGCCTGAAATATAGGTGGCAACTCTACTTGGCAAAACTCATTAAATCAAAGCAAAAATATATTTATGTACTGTATAACTGTAGTGATTTTCTAAATGTAGTAGATAATGATAGTTGTATTGAAGCATGTTAAAATTTTTCTGATGTGCCTAAAGATATCATGGAGTTTGAGATCTTTTATTCTGCATAATTCAGTTTCAGCCTCTTTTTTGAGGGTATGTTTAGTCATATTTTGAACTGAATTATGATTATTGCCAAGGTTTCTAAAAGATGTTTTTGGCTAAAAATTATTCTTTCTGTTACATTGTTGGGCTTAAGACAAGATCTAGAATTAGCTTAATTAGCACGTAATTTTTCCTGAAGAACAAGGTTCACATTTTTTAGCTGCCTTTCAAGGTTGTTGTTACTATTTTTGCTTTATTTTTGAGACTGGGTATTACTATGAAATTTACAGTGATCCGGACCTAGCTATAGAATTAGTCTGAGGCCAGTCCTGGACACATTAGATGCTATTACACACACAAAAATCTGTATATATTTGTTTATACACTTAGTCTATTATGCCTTAAAAGCAGTTCTCAGCCTGTGGGTCACAGCCCCTTTGGAAGGGAGTCAAATGACCCTTTCACAGAGGTTGCCTAAGACCATCAGAAAACACAGAGATTTACATTATGGTTCATAACAGTAGCAAAATCACAGTTACGAAGTAGCAACAAAAATAATTTTGTGGTCAGAAGGTCACCACAACATGAGGAACTGCATTAACTGGTCACAGCATTAGGAAGGTTGAGAACCACTGAAATAGAGGATATATCTATTTGCTTTACATAATTTGAAATTGGGTTTTGTTTACTTCTGAGGAGATGTAAATTAATCTATGCTGCAAAGTTGCAACAATAATTCTGTAGGAAGTAGGACATTGCTTGAAAAACTCAACCTTTGGAGGTTAAAGATGTAGCTCTGCGGTAGGGTGCTTGCTCAGCATGCACAAGTCCCTGAGTTCAAGCTCAAGTCCTGCAGAAAGGAAAAGAAAAGAAACTCAATATTCAGAAGAATTTGCAGTGATTCTATTTTTGTCCAATATTATGTTTATGGGAGAGATAGGAAATCAAAAGCTGAGATAGTTCAGGTGTTGTGAATTACCTTCTGTTCTCCTTTGTTAAAGTCTGGAAATGGTGAGCTGGTGCATACCAATAGAGACAGGAAGATGGAGAGGCTGGACTTTCCTGGGATGCTGAAAGAGATGAATTTGAATTCTTGTTAGGCTTGGTCCTGTTTAGTGAATGTGTGAGCACAGTGTTGAGACCATGCCTTGATCCCAGACAATTCCCATTTCCTCACTATTTCAAATGGCCTATTGCATACATCATTTAATGCAATAAATGAAGAAGTCTTTAATCAATGCAGGAATAATGGGACAGCTGTTGATGTGCTAGAGTATTACATTTTATGTGTATTTGTTTAGTTTAATAATTACAAATTGTTTCATATACAGTATAAAAACATGGAGAAGAGTAAATTTCTCTCTGTGGATGATGTAAGAATTTCAGGAGAAAGTAATGTTTTGTTTTGTTTTTGTTTGAGACAGGGTTTCACTTTGTGTCCCTGGCTAACCTGGAAATCTCAATGTAGACCAGGCTGACTATGAACTCACAGAGATCTATCAATATCTACATCTCAAGAGCTGGGACAGAAAGTTGCATTTGGAAATAATGCCTTTATTTGGGCAACCGAGATGATGCTTTGGGCAATATGGTGATCTTCTTGCAGTTAACACTAAAGTCAAAAAAGCCTTACCTTTTCTTTGACTAATTAGAAAGCAATTTGGAGGCACCCTGTGAGGCATTAAAGAACAGTTTCTCAGATGCTTTTTTTTTTTTTCTTTTTTGAAAGCTCCACTGAGGAAACTTCAGGGATTGTTTGATTTAAAATGTTATTTAATGTGGATATGTGTTGTGCCTGCATACATGTATGGGCACTACATGGATGTCTAGTTCCCACAGGTGCCAGAAGGTCATTGGATCCCTGGAACCGAGTTTCACATGGTTGGAAGCTGCCATGTGGATGTTGAGAATTGACCCATGTCCTCTGCATCAGCAGCAAATGCTCTTAACCCCTGAGCCAGTGCTCCAGTCTTCTATGCATCATTTGCAAGGGTCTTATGCATCAGATTTTAAAAAACAGATTACTGGCCATTTCAGTTATTGATTGCCTCTTAGTGTGGGTCTTTTTGCTATCTTGCCTTGAAGTCATCATGCTTCCTTGGGCACCTGTGACAGGCCTCCCCTGAGCATCTGTCACCTCTCTAGAAGAACCATTATCTTAGCACTCAGAACGGGTATCACATGCTTGCTAGTAATACTCACTTGGCCATTGGTATTTTAAAATATTTTAAATTAAAAGTGTAACGCACTGCTATAAAGTTATATCCACAAATTCTGCCTCAGAAGAAAGACAGATGAAATTCATTCTACTTTTCTGATATGCTTTCTAACCATAGGAATAATTTATCAGTATACTCATGCAATTCAGTAAGTAACAATGTTGCAGAGTTGAAGCCCTCCATTGTCTTCTTTGTGTGCTTCCACACATGTGCACAACGCTGTATACATACATGTGCTTGTGTGTGCATGTGTGCTTTTCCTAGTACCAGCCTGTACTGTTTGACATGTTCCTCCTTAGCCATCCAAAAACATCCTCTGTAGGGACTCATGATAAAGAAAGGGTTTTGTTTTTGTTTATATTCACCAGCCTAGCAATGTTATTTACTCATTTGATTATGAAAACATTTGAAAAGTACTTAGCAATTCATGGAACACCAAGAAGAATTAGGGATTGTTGACCT